AGTTAAGCAATATTCCACCAGCATTAGAGTTACATACCATGGGCTCAAAATGGAGCCCATTTCAAGATATTGAACAAGGGAAACTTGGCTGCTTTTCTTTGCCATCGGGGAAAATAGAAAGGCCTTCTTGAGACATTATTGGTATGAAATTGTTACTTATAGCTTTTAAAATCCACCACTCTATGTGCATGTTAAGACATACAGACATATTTCCACTCCAGCATACACCTTTCTTGTCTTCTTTTTTTCCTTTGGTTTGTTTATAAAGCAAAGAACATGCTATAGAGGCTGGGGAGCATTCGAGTTTTCTATTCCAAAAAATTTGACACACTACAGGATAGAATAACAGACATGGATGCATTTTCAAAGAAAATACTGTTTAGGAATATATAAAACCCACATGTCCTTTCACTGCATGAAAGTCTGCAACAAGATCGTGGTACATGTGCACTGAGTTGATTTGCATGTGCTCCTGTGTGCTTTTTGGGCTAAAGCAAAAGGAATCAGCTAACACATTATAAAACTGCAGTGATCACCATCTATACAGCTAATGCTAGCTGCCAAATGAGGCTGATGTGATTGTGGAGACAAAACCAGCTCTGAAATTTGAAGGCCAAAGGGGTGGCAATGAGATATTTAAATCACATGCAAAACAAAACAGAAACATTACCTTTGGTTGCATCTTGCAGACATGTTTGCCATGCTAACCCAAACGTATGTCTCTAATCACGCCCTGAACGGCCTTTATTTGTCAGATACTCATATTGCAATAGTCAGCACAATATTATGTTCTTCACGAGCACTAATTCCTAACGCCAGGGAGAATCAATGTCTGTACAGATATATTGGAAGCCCGTATGGCTTGTTATTACACTCATCAATTCACATGACTCTATCATTGAACCAAACAGGAAGCCATGGGAAGGAAGGAGCCATGCCAAGTGATGATGACATCTTCCACCTCTACGAATGGCTTGCACATAGTATATGTTCAAGAAACTGATCTACCATGACTGGAACCAACACTCCGCAGGGTTTTGGTGTTTGGCTTTTGTTTCTGTTTTTCAGTAGCAGGATGTTTGGATTTATGGAGACACTAGCTGGATTTGAGGTTGTGTTCTGCGCAATTTCTCCCAGGAGCATAGTCAGAGTGTTCAGTGTAAGCTTCAAATGAATGTTCATCACGTTCTTTAGAGGATCTCACTTCTGTGTAAAAGTCTTGCACATGTGGGTACCCACAAAATTAATAAATCAGTGTCTCAGATTTTTGCAGTAGCTCTTGAGCAAATATATGACCTTTATCTTAAGGGAAAAGCCCTACTAGCTCGTGAGGTTAAGAAATGGTCACAATGACAACTTACTGTCTTCCTTGTCATTGTAGTTATCCCTGACTGGTGGGCAATATTTACTAATGTCCTGACAGCCATATATTCCTGTTAATAAAACAAATCTTCTATAAAGTCAAAAATAAGCCACATTATAATAATTAAAGGTGATATGTTCTCAAAATGCCAAATTATCAAATATTTTGGATTTTTTTCCCTAAAAGACTCTTCAATCCATTACTTTCTTCTATACTGCTGTTAGGTCTAGTCATCAATATTTCTCACCTGGGTAACTAGACAGCCTCAGCAGTTCCCATCTCAATCTCTACTGCCTCTTCAACCCCTTATCCATACTTAAGATAGAATGTTTTTTTGTTTTGTTTTGTTTTTTTGAGACAGGGTTTTGCTCCTTAGCCCAGGCTGAAGTGCAGTGGCACAAGCTCAACCCACTGCAGGTTTGACTTCTTGGGCTCAGGTGATCCTCCCACCTCCCAAGTATCTGGGACTCCAGGTACATGCCACCACATCCCACTAATTTTTTTAGAGATGGTTTCTCACTATATTGTTCATGCTGGGTTTCAAATTCCTGAACTCAAGCGATGCCCCCATTCCAGACTCCCAAAGTGCTGGGATTACAAGCCTGAGACACCACACCTGGCCCAGAATCATCTCAAAATAAAGGTAAGTCTCATCCTGTCACCTCACCTCTGTTCCTGTACCTACTTTATTTCATTTACTTAAAAATATTTAGGGGCATTGTAGACCCCAGATCCTGACTCGCTCTGCAAGGCTGTGGGTATAGAACCCGCCTTCCCAGCCTTCTTTCCTGCCAACATCCTCCTCATTTGCTGTGTTCTAGGCACACAACCTAATATCTCCTACTTAAACTTTCATATACATTATTATCATCTGGGAAGCTTATCGAAGCACTGATTCCTGAACGCTAGTCCCCAGGCAGTCTCATTCAGTACGTCTGGGATGGAACCTGAGAACTTTCTGACAAGCCCCAGAGGATGCTGAGGCTGCTCCGGCTGCTCCAGGGGAAATACACGGCTTCAACCTCTCCTAACTCTTTTTCCCAGGGAATCCTTTACAATCTACCTGACCAGAATCCAGATCCCTGCTTTATCCCATCATAGCACACCATCTAAGTCTGACACAGCTTCTACGACTGCCGTAATATTGCCTTTGTGGGGTCATTTTGTTTTTTCTACCCCCAGAAGTCAGTTTCACAATGGCACGACTAGTGTTGAAATTTGTCTGTTATTTCCATGAACCCTAAGAATAAATATTATTTACATGAGATAAGGAATACACAAATGTCCTTATTAATTTTCACATTCTAGTACTATTGTGGGAAAAATTAGTTAATTGTACTAATTACGATGTCTTGATAAATTACAAAATGTCTTCACTACCTTACTTACTTCTCCGAAAAAATTAATAAAAGCCATTACTAAAACATACACATGCATAGAATTCTAGAATACATGATGGTACTATCACAAACAAGAAAACGAGATTGGTGTTTGCCATTTCTCAATGCTGGTGGGCACAAAAACCAACTATGTTGATTTGGAAGATGAATCATATGGGTGGCCATAATCTCTGACAGTTAGCACTGTTGGCAAATGAAAGCATTGAGATGGAAAAATTCACTCATTTTAACATACAGATGTCAACATTGCTCTGAATAAAGCGTCAATGTGTTTTACATACATGCACACATATGCACACAGTTCTTTGTGCCTTCCACTATAATTAGTGTACAATTCATACAACCTATTGTAGAATAAAAAGATCAACTCCAGACATTAAGGGTTCTTTAGGCAAGAACTATGTAAGATGGTTATTAAAATTGTATTCATACAACAAACATTTGGCATTCATTAGGTGCATGTTTTACGGAACTGATAAGACGATGTCTAAGGTACATTTCTACCCTCAAGTAATTTACAATGAGGGCGTATGAAAAATCAACTATAAAAGAAGTGAGTATGTAATACATAAAAAAATGACTACATAATACATACTAAAAGGTGAATATGTGATGCATTGTTAAATACTATTTAACAAAGTTAACTTCTTAAAAGAGAATGAGGGCCAGGCGTGGTAGCTCATGCCCATAATCCCAGCACTTTGAGAAGCCTAGGAGGGTGGATCATGAGGTCAGGATTTCAAGACCAGCTTTACCAACATGGTGAAACCCCATCTCTACTAAAAATACAAAAACTAGCTGAGCACAGTGGTAGGCACCTATAATTCCAGTTACTTGGGAGGCTGAAGCGGGAGAACTGCCTGAACCCGCGAGGCGGAGGTTGCAGTGAGCTGAGATTGTGCCGCTGTACTCTAGACTAGGTGATAGAACAACACTCCATTTCAAAAAAAAAAAAGGGGGGGTGGGGGGAATGAGGGAGAGCAGAATGTTTCTTGGAGGAACAAAATTTAATTAGGAATTTGAAGGTTGAGCAGCATTTTGATAGGTTAGAATTGGAAGTAGAATGAAGAAAAGGGATGGCTGTCCCAGAAAACAGAATGCGTATTGTAATTAAACAACGTGAAGACCTTCAACTGTGACATACCGACATACACACTTATTTTGTTTTAAAGGCTGGGAGTATCCATCACAACAGCTGCATGGTCTACATTGCCTGAGCTAGCGCTCTCAGCTCTGAGGCTCTGGGGTCTCCGTCTGGAATTCAGGGACTCCCCCCAGGAGACTGAGATCCATACACATTTCTTCCAGCCATGTTTTCCTTTGATAGCTAGTCAAGCATGCCACTCAACAATGCTGCTCCTTTAGTTCTTTTTCTGTAGTACCAGAAGTAGCTTATTATGTTTAAATCAGATCACCTCTATTGCGATATTCTAAAGAATATTGATATGGGACAAAATAATTTTAAATATTGAGTAATTATGGAGAAGCCCATCTACATAACTTTCCCAAAAACTCTTGTCACCAATCTCTAAGGTCCATTACTTATTTGGGAAAATATCCCAACATGTTTCTCTATGCCTCCATAGCAGAGGCTAGTCAATGTCCTGCTCACTCACGTTCTTATGTCCTTATTATTTCAGTGAACGCTGTCCACATCCAACTGCTAAATCTAGCTTTCCCTCTCTCCATGGGTTTTGGGATTTTTCTTGCACCTGAAGCGCTTTTTGCCACCTGATAGGATTAATTGGTTTTGATTATCATGAAGAAATAACCTTATAAAATGGAACCAGGAGCACATACAGAACTCAGGACACTCACTGAAAGTATCTTGCTGATTCCATGCCTGGTGATCACAAGAATGTGCAATCGCACCAGGTACAGCTTGACAAGGAGAAAGGAACCAAAGGTTCGGACCTTTTTATCTCCAGTGATGAAGGTCTGAGCCTTCTATTTGGCACGCACCCTAGACCTGCAGAAATGGACAAGGATGACGGATGCCTAGAATGGGTAGAAAAGAGAAGGGATAAGGAATATGGATTGCTGTCTTGAAAACAACTGAAGCAGACTACGGTTTCTCCCACTACTCCTCCTGTTGCATTTTATTTAAACATTTAATAAACATTGTCTGTCCACCTGCTTGAAGAATCAACACAGGATAGATGAAATTAACACGAGGCATGCAGAGATTGAGCAGGTGGGTTTTAGGGGATGACCTCAGTGACCCATCGACATCTCACCTTCCTCACCACTTCAGTGCAGATACTGCCACCTGCACCACTTTGAGGGCTTTTTCTTGCTCTAGAGACTGCTTTGCTGCCGGCATGGCAAACTGAAGTAGAGAATTAAAAACCCCTAGAAACAGCTCTCAGCCATATAAGTGACTGGAGTTTGTCTATGATTTCCCCCAGTAACCTCTTGGGAGTGACTCTAAGTCATGTGGTTTTATTAATTTGATATGAGACTCTGATTCCTAGAGTTTCCCCCATAGGATAAATCTCTGTGTACCCGCACTTGTTACTGGCTTGGCAACGCACTCTTCCTTGGCTGCTTTCCCGTCCTTGTTTCTCTTCCTTACTCCCCCATGGTTGATTTCTTTCACCCTCCAAATATAAAAATTTTATTCAAATCTTTGAGTTAGTTTCTGCTTCTGGAAAACCCAAACTAAGGTAGTTTGGGGCTTGTCATCTGGTCATACTGTTGGCTGTTGCCCAGGAGATGGTGTAAGTCTGGACTTTAGGTCAATGACCGTCCCAGAACATATGGACAGAGAGACATAATACTTATAACTTTACTGACAAAAATCCACATCTCCACTCTCTTTCAAAGCCACCTGTGAATTGTGTTGTGATGCTTCAGCAGGTGATTTTTGGGTTCCAGGCATATTACCTAGATCCTTATGAGTAATAATAGATTATAGAAAATAGGGGCAGGCACAGGGGCTCACACCTGTAATCACTCCCACTTTGGAAGGCTGAAGAGGCTGGATCACCTGAGGTCAGTGGTTTGAGGCCAGCCTGGCCAACATGGTGAAATCCCTCCTCTACTAAAAATACAAAAATTAGCTGGGCATGGTGGACGGCCACCTGTGATCCCAGCTACTCAGGAGGCTGAGACAGGAGAATTGCTTGAGCCCAGGAGTTGAAGGTTGTAGTGAGCTTAGATAATGCCACTGTACTCCAGCCTCGGTGACAGAGCGAGAATCCATCTCGAAAAAAAATGAAATGAAGAAAGGAAAAGAGAAGAAAAGAAAGGAAAGGAAAGGAAAAAAGAAAGGAAAGGAAAGAAAAGACAAGACAAGAAAAGAAAAAATAGTTATGCTCTTGTTGGGTGATTGCCTCACAATTCAGGTGGCAATGGGACAGAAAGCATAATTATAGTTTTTTTCCTTCTTAGATTTTTTTTTTCAAATGCTGCCTCTTCCTTAAAATTTCACAACACAATTTATGACATTCTCTAGTTGTAAATTTATGCTTTTGGTATTTTAAAAGACAATATGTATTGATACAGGAATTAGATCCATCAGCTATAGCAATAAATTCAGTTTACATCATTTGCTTGGAGTTAAGACATGTCATTCAGACCTTAAATCCTATAATCAGTATTAAGTGCTACGGGTGTACACCTGATTCAGACTGAGACAATTCACTTCACTCCATAAATTCTGACTTGGGATTTTAAAAAGCTGGTCATTGAAATGGGAAGCTCAACGGGGCCATTGAAATGGAGAGCTGGCTTGAGAAGATTCTATTTAATTCTATGCATGTTCAAGAAAAGCAAGCTAGAAATCCTAAAAGCTGAGAAGGAGAAGAATAAAGCCCAGTTGTAAGAGACACAGAAAGAAGAGATAGTGCAAGGAGCGTTTCAAAGGAAGTAATCTTGGTTTTTTTTTTTAACAATTTCTTGGTACTGACTTTCAGGCTTTTATGAGGCCCTCCTGTTTTTCTTTCTTTTGGATCTATAGATACTCCTGTATCTTAGAACAGTTTCCTCCTTTGGGCGTTAAGATAACTTGAGGGATTTTTCAATGATTTGAAACCAGAACAGCCTTGCTGAAAAGAACTGCTCTGTACTCTGAGCCCAAGAAGAATGAAGATCATCATTTTCTTGGTTTTCAGTGCACCTAACACAATACTTGGCACATAATAGACTCTCAACAAGCATTTGTCAGGAAAAAAGTGAATGAAAATGCTAATTAGCTTCAGCAGAAGCACCAAGAAGCACGTGTACTTCTAATAATGCGAAACATCTTTGTACCAATAGAAAGCGGCTGACCTGTGTTCAGCCATGGACAGGGCTGGAAGGTTCATGCCTTAGGTTTATTTCAATCATAATTGCCCACTCATTTAATCCATCTGAAAAACAATCTTAACCACTGCTCAAATTATTGGTGTTTATTTCTCCAGGACATGTAGTAAGGTATTAATTCACCTTGAAACATTTAGGCCTGTTCATCACTCTCAGATGTTTAAAGTGGCACAGCAAAAGAAAGAAACGGAGTGGAGTTTAGAACAGGTAAACCAGAGAAATGAGGTCTCAATCTTTGGCAAACCCAACACTTCATCAAATCCTATGGGAAGAGCAGTGTGTTGTGGGCTGTTGTTTCTTGAAATGTCCGTTAAGGAAAGACCAAACTTAGCAAATGCTGAAGTCCCTCTTGTAATGTTTTATGATTGTTATAGTATTTGGTAACTTCTGTTTCCCTCTGGCTGTGATGTGAGAGGTTCCTCCCACCACGTGCCCCCCATGACAGCAATCTCTAGCTGTAAAATAGTAAGACCGTCAGCCAGCAATAATTTGCAATCCAAACAGACTTGACGCTCCCTGACATTTATTGAAACCTCAGACCCCATGCACTGGTTTCAGTTTTCCTCCCTTCGCTCTGTTTTTACAGACAGACAAGTGCTTAGATTTAGGCTTAATAATGAGGAGAAATTTCTTCTTGGCCTACTCTTGCTTGTGTTGGCTGCACTGGGCTTGCAACAGATGGGTGGTTGGAGTTAATTACACTAAATGGTGAGAACATTATTTGACCCCACTGGTTCAGCCCCAGAGGCTGTGTACCTCCTCACAGACATAGGCAGATGGAATGCCTCACAGGCTGGGCAGAGGGCAGAAGCCATGTAGAGAGAACTCTCCCCTCAAGAACAGACAGACGTGGGTTTCACTTTTTAACACAGCTCAGAATCCTGGGCTCTTTCATATGTATAAACCACTAAAATGAAAAGAAACAAGGTGGTAACAAAGATTAGGAAAACACACTTTAACTAATGGGATGATCCTCCAAGGGACCAGTCATCTTCCAAAATGATAGGGTTCATCCTTTTATCCCAGTAAAGAATAACAGAAAAACTTCACCACGCATGTGACTTAGACAAGCCCAAAAGGAACTCTTATCACATGTATCATTGTAGGAGACTTGGTGGCAACCATATTATATTTGAGAACCCAGTGATAACTGCATATCATTTAACTCAGTACATAACATGTAGTGCCCTGCAAATAGTCTCTCCCTTGCTGTTTTTAATGATGATGGTGATAGTAACAATACATCCATGTTCTCCTTATTCTAGAGATAACCTGGCATTCATGAGTCTCAAGAATAAACATTAACCAATACACCTAAGTGCAGTGGAGATCTATTTATAAACAGATTGTTGGTACATCACAACACAACCTCCAGCATATTAAATTATATCTCATTCTAGAATATAACAAGACCAGAGAGAGACAACATTACATTGTGGACTTAATACAGACAGCAAGATTTCTGTTCCTAGATTTATGATTCACTGTTGTATGTAAATTCCACACAGATAATTCAGTATGTACTGGAAATCTGTAGGCAGTAATGGCTTCTATGATATGTCTGGCAATTATGATTCCATAAAACAGCATTGTGCAGCACCATGTTTTTAAACCTGCTGGAATAGTTGCTTTAAGTTGCACTGTCAAATAATTTCCGGTCTGACATAGTTTATGAAACACACCAAGTTAACAGGAGAGGTAAGAGATGAGTAGCAGCTTTTAAGATGCTTCCTACTCTTAAGAGGAAATGATCTTTGTTGTTCTTTTTCCTTATTTTCTTTAACATCTTTCTTTCTGTACTTTGGTGACCACCGTCTTTCCCCCATCCATCAAGTGTCAAAAATGATCAATGACAAATGAAGCGATATTATACCCCAGTGTACCAAGAATTTCTTGGTAACATTTCAGAAAACGATGGCCAAGGATTAGGTTTTACTTTGAGTGAGAGTCTAACTGCACCCCTTTCAAAGCAATTTGATTCATTCTGTTCAATAATCACACTCTATGACTCTATTTCTTCTCCACTAATACATACTAGATTGTCATTACATTATATGAGCAGGCATACATTGTTAGTACAACTCACCTCCACCCATGTGTAAATGACTCAAAGTATACGTACTTCGTGAATCAGTGGCATCTTTCTCACAGAGGCAGTGTATGACTGCAAGTGTTATGTTCATATCTCAAACAAGAAAGGATATAGAAATTACCCTGGAGTATTTTAAACCTCATAAAACAAATGCTGCCATGCATAAAAGGAATTACTTGTTTTGCAAAATGTACGCAGAAAACAAGTGTACAATGCATATTTTCCCCAGTAAAAGATAATTAAATGGTAGGGTGTGCTTTTAAAGTACTGAGCCAATAACACTTGAGAGTTTAAGTGTTATTATATTATTATCACCTATACGAAAATGTGAGGCAAATATAGATATAAGCTATAGTTAAAAGACTTAAAATATTTTTAAATGGACAAATGGTGTTTATCGAGGTGACTGCCTTCAGAACTAAAATGATGGTAGCTGAATTACAGACTTTATTGCAACAGAATCTGTGAGCTAGAAGCAGTACATAAGGGACGTTCAGGGCTGAACAATGTGTAAGAAGTCAAGTTAGGGAACAAGAAGATGGAGCAAAGATAAATTAAACAAATGCTATTTTAAGCCCAAGACAAGAATTTCAGGGAAAATTTGGAGACAGTTCCTTTTCATAGTGAGTATTTACTAGTTGCATGTATGTATCATTGGAGAGACAACCTGTAACACTTCGTAAAAACTCAGTGCTAAATCTGACTATTCAAAGTTTTGGTTACTGTTGTTGTTGTCTTCATTTTAGTTTGTGTGCTTGTTGTCTATTTTTTAATTAATTAATTTATTTTTGAGAAGGAGTCTCACTCTGTACCCCAGGCTAGAGGGCAGTGGCACAGTCTGGGCTCAATGCAACCTCCGCCTCCCGAGTTCAAGAAATTATCCTGCCTCAGCTTCCCAAGAAGTTGGGAGTGCAGGCACACACCACCACACCTGGCTAATTTTTTCTAT